CGATCGTTTATGAAAAACAGATTAGTTTAGTTGTGATACCCAAACTAACAGGAACCATCCTAATCGCTCTTTTCTTGAGCATGGATAAAATTTTGAGTGAAGTCTTGTAGCTTTTATTCAAAACTGCTGTTAAGATCTAATCAAATTGACCTGTAAAAAACATTCTGTGCCTTATAATCTAGAGAATGATTTAATTTAATAAGATTTAAGATGCTTCTGGATATTTTAGTCTGAGTATATTGTGTTCTGAACATTATTCAAGTCAACCAAAAAATATAATTTAGTTTACTTGTTTCACAATTTTTTTACTTGCACATCACTATACCTTTACAATTTCCAAATCCAATAGGCTTAGTTTTTTTACCTATATGTGTGATTGGTAACAAAAATAAATGTAATGAAGTCAATAAATAGCACAAAAAGTCAGCTAAAATACTAAAGTAGTTATTCCAAAACATTAAAAATGTCTTTCTTTTATTTTAGAGGTTTCCTATCCTTTCTGGGAAAAAATGTATACCCACGACATGATGCCACCACCACCTTGTTTTACATTGGGGATGATAGAATACCTTGTGAGGGGTTCTACAGTACAAGGCACTTTAAATCAACACTACTTAGGTATTGCTAACTCAATCTTTTGTTTTTGCAGCTCTATTTAATATTTTATTGAAATCATTGCATTTTATGTGCATTTGAACATCTGGATTATACAGTCTTTAAAAAGAAATACAATTACCAAAAACTTGAGCAGTAACAATTAATGAGAAAAACAGCAATTTTACTGAAACCTGTAATTATTGTAAACATTTGGTGTTTTTATTGCTTCTCCCAAACAGTTACGGTAGTTTCCAGAATGATTTAGGGAGTGCAAATGTTTCTCATGAAAACTCGAGGGAACAGAAACTTTCCTTAGGACCAGTTCTCAGAGATCTACTTGGGAAAACCTTCACACATGTATTGTTTTTTCCCAAATACTCTTAGCAGGATCAAACTATTACAGGGCCTGTTGGAACAAAACAATAAATAAAACAGGAAAAACCCGTTCTGCTGATATTTGCGCTTAACTGGTTGCTGCTGTTGACCTTTTATATGATTCATAGCAGATTTATCTTGATACTATTTGAAAATGGAGTTTAAACGTCTTTGTGAGTTACTAGAGATGACTGTAGGTGAGGGTGTCAGGGTTCAAGCTAGATCTCTCTTATTTTCTTTTATGACTGCCTAGTGGTGCTGAGTGTCAGTCTGCCCCACGTCAGCTGTGGCTACAATGTAGCTCACCACTATCAATGTGTGAATGGATGACTAAAATCATGAAAAAAATCATACAATGGTCATGTTGTGTTTTTTTTTTTATTACACTGAAGAAACCGATAATAAGTACAAGCAGCAAAACAATCAGATTGAGACACCCCTGAAAAAGTACAATCAAAATGTCTTAAAAATCTACTTGGGGTATGTGGTGGATCCTTCTACCTCCACAACAAAGTGTTTGTATAGTTTTCATAGTTCGTATTTAGTTCCATATTAATTTTAAGTTATTCCATTTAGATGTATATTTTCTTATGGGTGCACACTTTAGTTCATATGTCTGAATGGTTTAACTCACTCTTGTTCTTGTCTTTGAGGTTCTGCAAATGCAGATCAGCTGCAGGTGAAAGCCAGGAACATACCACTTTCCTGAAGAACTGAGGGGGAAATGTTGTTTAAGTTGACCTCAGTTATTTTGTCACCTTAATATTTACGTATTACTTTTGCTAGGTTAAAGAGTTGTTTTATTTTTTTATTATGTTTTAGTTTTGTAAGGATTTTTTCTTTATTGGTTTTTCTCTGTTATATTGTGCCTCCCTTTAAGTTATTCCACCCCTATTTAAAGGCATTGACGATTTAGCGAGCGTATGCTAGACATATGAAAAATCTAGCAAAAATGGCATATGTTGGATAAGTTATGTGTACATTTTGTATAAGATATGAGCACGATGAAGTAAGCCGAAGCATGCTGAAACACGTCGACATATGACAAATACTTCGGGATTTCCCGACGTATACCAGCGTATGCCATAAGTGGGGCATAAGTTACATGTAAGTCATGTGATTGTTGAGATATGCAAAGTGTAATTTACTCATCAGTCGTAATGTCTAGTTTATCCAAAACCTAGGAGTAATGTGTGCGTAACTTATGTATAACTTATCAAGACCTTATTTCCAATGCATATCACGACCAACAAACTTCCTAGCAAACATGGCACTGAATCTACTGTGACTGCAAACCAACTTTATTTTTCTTTATTCTTTTTTTTTTTTTGGCAGGCAGTTAGGTTAATACAGCAATCAAATAAATGTATTTATGCAGATAAGGTGCCTCCAGGCGCATCGCTGCCCCCCTCAGGACACGGGCTTGTGCATCATTTAATGGGCATTACGCTCCAGTGCGTTATGCATAAGCTAGGCTGTCGTTTGACATACGCTCTGGACACATAAAGAATACTCGATATATACACACCCAAAATTGAAAAAAAAAAACAGAACGTTTAGTGTATCCCAGCGTTTTAGAAGATTCTGGGACGTCAGGCATATGCTGGATAAATCGGCAAGGTGTGACAGGGCCCTAAGCAGAGTTAGTTACTTTTCAGTTGACCTCAGTTCAGTTGGGCCCATTTTATTTTGTTTTGCCGTTGGATCCCTTGTCATTTTTGACATTATTAAAAACGTTTTTTTTTTGTTTGTTTTTTACACTTTTGGTCCTCATTAAAGTTTGGTTCCTCACAGGGGAATATTACACTGGTTAAGTTAGTATTTCTTTGATAGAATGCTGTGCATACATATATATGGTTAAATAATAGCAATGATTATACAATACGCTCTCCATTTAATTGGTTTTAATGAGAATACCAAACCTAATCCGTTGAGTAGTAAGGACAAACCACCACTTGATATGAGAACCCTGTTGATTGACATGGGTAAGTCTGTTCTGCAAGACTGGGAATAAATATAGGGTTCTCACTATCAACAGAATTGAATTCAGCAATGTAAAAAACATGCCTCCCTCTACATCTTAGAACAATCTTGTTTCTATAACCAATGCGGCTAAGCATTTCACTGGGTAAGTTATTCTGCTTTTCCTGAATCTTTAAACTAACTGCAGGTAGAGAGGGGCAGCTCACACTTTCTCTCACACAGTCTTTTTCCTGGACAAATACTTTCACTCTCCAGAGAACATTCTGAAATGCAAAGTAGGAACTGGTGTGAACAGGTGTTTGGAAGTCAGATGTTAGGCTACTCGTTCGCTGACCCTTAACGATGTAGAAGCCAGAATAGTTGAAAGCTCTGATCTCCTGAGTGCTGAATGTGAAGCTCCATGTGGCACCGGTATAAATCCTGGGAGTATAGATGTCCCGTTTCTCTGTCAGGTCACTGAGCAGAACACTGACAGGCAGAGAATTAAACTCGAAGCCCTCCAACTTTCCGATGCGATACTGGGAACCATCCATTCTGTGGAGGTCCTCAGCCGATATCATCGGGAAGCGGATAAGCTTCAAAAGGATGTCAGGAATAGTGGTGTTTTCCTGAGCCGCTGCCCACTTCTCCAGTCCATGCAAAATGACAGTTTCATTATGAACCAAAATGTCTGAACGTGAAAGAAGGGCTTTGACTAGAAAGAGAGGAAGTTTGGTCCAAGCAGGAGAATCGATCAGGGTCTCACAGTTCCACGCCAGGTAACGAAGACAGATGTCCTTCAGAGCCTCATCGCTGACTAGAGCTGCATACTGACAGAAAGAGATCTGGCTCTGGAAAGTGGAATCTTCTGTGAGAACCTTCCTGAAAACATGTGCTGCCTCGTCCTGGAGTTCTGTCAGGCCCCAGTCATAAGCCATCTTGATTATGCAGGTAGAGGTTATCGTGAATTTAACTTTTCTTGTGTAGAAGTATCTGAAATATGAAATATTCATTAGTTATCTTTAATAAATAACTTAATACAATAATCTCCAAAATATTTAGGGTTAAGTCAGGGTTTTAAGTAATAGAACAACACTTAATAGAAGATAAATGTGTCATGATTTTGCGCGCTGATGGCTGGCTTGATTGCTCATTTCCTTCACCTGTCTAGCTCTGCTCTGTTCCTCACCAGATCCGGCTGTTCCGGTTTCCTATTTAAGCTCCCTGTTTCCCAGCCAACAGAGCCAGATTATTCTTGAGCCTTTGGTGAAGCGAGTTTTCTAGCGAGTTTAGTGTTCTGATTGTCCGATCCTGATCTGTTTTTGCCTTTGGACCTTTGAGTCTGTCTGCCCCTCTGCAGTCTTCCACGTCTGGAACTCTTTTGCAGTGCCCGCTGCTTCTGTTCACCGGCTGGAACCATCCTCGTTTTTTGGATACAGGACTAAACTAGCAGAGTTTCAGTCATAGACACCCTAGCTGCTGATACATCAGATCCACAAACTGCTCTTGTGTTTAAAATAAAAGCCTTTAATTATTCCACTGTCCTGAATTCTGGGTCATCTGTTCTGAGTTATTACAAAATGGAAGGAAAATCCTGCATTGATTTCTAGTAACTTACCGGTACCAATAGAATTGGGTCATTTTCAAGAAGTCCAGAAAAAATATATATGTTATGGGCAAGCTCAGATGGCTGGAAATAAACTTACCTTAGAAATGTTCTGGCATATTGACTGCATTCAGAGGAGACGCTGATGCTCAGTCTGTGGAAATCTGGCTGTGATTCTTTGAGATTAGCGTTCAAGGAGAGTATAACCCTGTGAACACAGACTGTCTCTACAGTGCTGTTGTCCACCATCACTGGTATGTTCAGGTCACAGTCGTGCCCACTGTCAAACAGCTCCCCCAGTTCCGCAGTAAGGGTTGCATTATGGTCCACAGTGTATTCAGGGGTGGGGTCCCTCCTGTTGGGCTCAGATCCTGCCAGACACCAACACGCACACGGGAGTAGGGAGGTTATAGGGTGTTTCTGTCTGTTTCTCAGCAAAATATGGATACATGTCACTTGGAGTTGGAAGCCTTACCAGTTTCACACCTAACACCAGCATCCTCAGAATGGCCACAATTATGGACTCCCCATCCACCAAAGGTACACTGAAGGAGGCTTATCTCATTTCCTGTGCAGCCTAAGTCATCCATCAAGATGTTTCCGCTTCCTAAGAAAAGCAGTAAGGTTTTTTTTATTGTAAATAAAAAAAAAACTTCGAGTGTTATGTTTGCAATTCTCTTAATTTATTAGAGTTAATCTGTACTGCCTTGAAAAAGTTATTCAGAGTTAGAAGCATTACCCTGCCCAAAAGCAGCAGATCCTGGAGCTTCTTTTGCACCAGGATAAAGGAGCTGCTGACACACAACTCTGGCATCATTAATGTCCCAACCGTCATCACACACGGTCCCCCAGGCCCCATTATGGAAGATCTCCACACGGCCCTCAGAGTTATCTTGACCTCCCATCAGTCTGACAAAACCTTCTTCATAACCTTCAGAGAAAAAAATAACAGTAATTAAGACATTTAAACAACTAAACATTTCACTTCATGTCTATGCACACCAAAAACATCAGAGGGCGTAAAAAACAATGGACAATATAGTTTATAAACAGTTACAAACTACTGAAATGTAAAATATTCTTTCAAACACCTTTATTAAAGAGAGGTGACATAATAGAATGGCCTAAGTCCCTTGAAGCCTATTTCCACTTTGATCAAAGATAAACGAAATTATTAAAATTTAATGGTATAGCTTACAGAGAAACAAATACATTTTTTACTCACCATTAGCAAAGCAAATTCTCAGAAGAAAACTGTAGAAAAACAAGGTTTTCCCTTTCATTGTGCTGTTAAAATTCAGAGGACAAGCGGGAAAATGGTCAAATTTAAGTGCTGTATAAAATGTGTTTTATTCAGAGTTTATTTGCAGAGTAACAGCAAATTGTCCATTAGCTTACCTGAACTCAATATATCTGCAGTACTTTGGAGAAGTGAACTAACCAATCTCATGAGAAAAATGGAACTGAAGAAAATCAGGAAAGAGACTTTCCCAGCAATTACCACACCCAATAAAGGTGTGTTTAATCCCATGGGAAAGAAAGAACATGTGGGCAGATGCCTCAGTGTTAAATTAGTCGTAAGTTTAATTTTTGCTTAGTTACAGACAGAGAGACTCTTTCTGCGAAATGTTTAGCATATGTTAACATGTTAGCCTTATAAGTCTAAACTTATTTAAATTAGGATTTCTTGTGGTTCAGCATCATTAATTCCCAGAGAAAATATCTCAAAATGATGGCTTACCTTTGTATTGAGCTCCTTTTACTCTGATACTTTTTTTTAAACAACAACAACAAAAAAAAAAAACAATCCTGTGCAATCAATTGTTCACTGAAGTCACCTGCTTATTATTATTAGTAGAAGAAGTAGTAGTAGTAAAAAGATAAAATCTGTATTTAAATACAGTGCCACCTTAGTGGTTTGCTAGATAATATTGGAAAATGGACATCATCAAGAAGACAAAGAAACACGGCAGAATACTCAGAGGAAATGTTGCAAAAAAGTTTGTAAAATTGTCTTCAATCTCTCTAAGAGCTGTTCATCTGAAAATTTAAAGAATACGCGACAACAGCAAACTGCCTAGGAAACTGTAGAGATCCTCCTTTCCAGTGGGAGAATTCATTCGTTGCAGATTTCTTGTGGGATTTTTGGAATTAGACAACAAAATGTTATTGTTGTTTTTCACAAACCATGTTGGGGAAATTGCAAACATGTGGAAAACAGGGTTCTGTCCAGATGAGATGTAACTTTGGTGACAATGCATTCTTTAACTTCAGAACGGCTGTTCAAATACAAAATAATGAGTCAGGAGGTTAACATAAATGCATGGTACACCTTTCAGACCTATACCTGTTAGATGATGATGAAGATAATAATAATAATAATAGGCTGCACAGTGGAGCTGTGGGTAGCACTGCTGCCTTGCAGCAAGAAAGTTCGGGGTTTGATTCCTGGCCTGAGGTCTTTCTGCATGGAGTTTGCATGTTCTCCCTGTGTATGAGTGGGTTCTCTCCAGGTACTCAGGCTTCCTCCCATAGTCCATAAACATGACTGTTAGGTTAATTTACCAAAATTCTCCTTAGGTGTGAGTGTGTGCGTGAATGGTTGTTTGTCCTCCTTGTCTCTGTGTTGCCCTGCGATAAATTGGCGACCTGTCCAGGGTGTGCCCCACCTCTCATCCATTGACAGCTGGAGCACCAACACCCCTCGCAACCCCAGCAGGGATAAAGCGTGACGCAAAAACGGATGGATGAATAATAATAATAAATATAATGATAGTTTAAAAATCAAAAATTACTTTTGCAAGGATATGCACTTTAAAAAGACTACTACTATATTCCTCTATTTACCAGTCTCTTTTGATGTTAGCTCATTTATTAACCCCTTTATTCTATGGATTCTTAATAGATGTTGGCATTGCATATGTTTCTTCTTAAACACTGCCTACATTATTTGGAGAGTCCAACTTCTGCATGCAGTGGACAAAAGAGTGCACAATGATTCTCAAATAAAAGCAACCCTCGCATTGAGGTTAGATTTACTTTGCTTTGAAACACAACCCCATCTGGTTAATAATGGTTTCAACACTTCCTTTGCTTTGTCTGTTTAGCTGCACATCAGAAGCCCGTTTAAACAGAGGGTGTAACAGTGGTTAAAACAAATAATAAAATATATTGTGCATAGGACAGCTCAAACAATGGACTTGAACTGTAATTTCTCTCTTATGTAAAAACAAAAACAAAGATTAAAAACCACATGGTTGCCCATGAACACAAAGAGTCAGTTATTTATTTATTTTGTTCATATTTCTGATGTTTTGTATTACAAAAAGTAGATAAATATAGCTTTAAAGAAATACTTTTTACTGATAAGCACTTCCTCCATCCTGTTTGCAGCCCTGATTGGGAGCTTCTTACGGTATGAAAAACGTTTTAATTGTCTTTCACAAACTCATAGACAATAATTTCTTAAAATAACACGAGAATGAAAAAAGAGCAAAGATTTTGCACTTGAACAAAGCTAATGTGTCAACATAATAATCTTATTTAAAGGTTAGAAAATGTCTAGTCATTTATGTAAAATCCTGATTCATCCTGCTCATTGTCACGTTTGTTTTTTTTTTTTTTTATTGTAACAAAGCTGACTGCCAATTAGATGGAAAACTTAATTAACTGGCACAAATACACAAAGCAATCAAAATGAGCTGGTTAATAGTATCTAAACGTTTAACCATTGTTTTCTTCTTTTTTATATGTTTACAGAATTTAAACATGAGGATAAAATATTTTAATTATTTTATGAAAAAAATGAATAATACCACAGTTTTAGAGGCATACATTTTAAAAGCAACCAATGATTGATTACAAGTAACCATAAATCATGACAAACAATAAATTCATAATTTTAGGCACTAGCTATACTTATGAATTTTGGTCGTAATTTGTCTTTTTTTTTTTTTACTTTATGATTTTATTTGATGTTGAAGTGGAACTTAGTACTGTATTTTATGCGATAAATGTTTATAACTCATGTTTTTATTCTTCCCATTTGATTGGTTTAGTAGCAATGGGTAAAGTTTTATAGGTAAGTTTTACAACCTATGTAAAATATAACCCAGGAACATTTCAGGTATAAATCTACTTTAATATCTATATTATTGAATAAAACCCAGCAGGTTTAACTACACATAAATTCGCAGCTTTTCTCATCGTCTTATTACATGCTTTGTTTGTTTATTAATTTTTTTTTTGTTTTTTGTGGCGATTTTCTTTGTTGAGATTTTAGAATGAGCTGTAAAAGTGCTTCGTTTATTTAGTCCCGCCCCTCGGATGTGACGCCACTATTGCGCTGTATTTCCTTACCGCTGATTGGACGAGCATTAGCCGTTCTCTGTGAAGGTGGCGGGAGCTGCAATGCATTTCTGAGGGGAATCCATGGTTATTTTTTAGAACACAGTGTTTATCTCCTGTTTGCAGAGTTCAATAATGAGCAGGTTACGATTAGCAGCTGCCAAAGGTCAAAAAGCTCGCGTGGAGACGCTGGAAAAAAGTATTCAACCCCGGAAGAGATTAAAAACATTGAAACAAGGTACCACGCTGGTTTCATAATTATTATAAGAGAAAAAGTCTGGGTGGTGTTTGAACATGAACTTAGGAGCACTAACTGAGCCCTCAGTTCCAGGGGAAAGAGTTTGCTCTGATTGTGGATTCGTTTTTCTTAGCTCTCTAACCTACTGTAAACATCTTAAAAATATAGCAGACCCTCTGTTAAAGAAAAGCAACAACAAACAAATGAGCAAAAAATATTATGCACATGACAGCAAATACAATAGCTTTATTTTATTGGACTATAATTTTTCTGTTATGTAAAAACAAATACAACAAATAACAAACCACATGGACACAAAGAGTCATGTTTCTAAAGCTTAGTATCACAAAAAAATATTATAAATTTGGCTTTAAAGAAATACTATATATCTCTATATAACGGTACAAAAAAAACAAATAAAAAAAAACAAAGCAAACAAGCAAGAAAAAAAAAACACCGATATTTTTTTTTTTTAAGAATTTCAAATGTTATTGAAAATTAAAGGCTTCGCAGTATTGATTACTTTCAATGTGATGTTGATCATTGCTGCCTACATTAACAGGAGATCAGCAGATCATGATGGACTGCTGACTCTGAAATCACATGGCATAAGGGCTTCTAATGTCACAATTGGCCCCATATAAAGCCTAAAAGCCTGAAGACGTTTCCTATTTCAGCAGGGAATATTTAATTGTGTTTTGTTTGATTATTTATATTTGCTTTATGTTTTCCATCCCATCCAGAGCCAGACACTCTGTGTCCATCTTCTTCATATCACTCATTCTCTGATCCTGCTGAGGTTGTGCAGCTGCAATCTCAGCTCCTTCACTGGTATGACCGAGAGAAGAGAGAGCTGCCATGGAGGACTCTGGTAAATTATTATTATTGGCATGTTTAATCACTACTTTACACTGTCAACTTATTGCTAATGTATAAACACTGCAGTCTAATCGAACTGTTAGTTTGGTGATTTTATTGTCATCTAAAATAATTTATCTGCATAGATATATTTAATTTTGTGCTAATTTTGCAAAAAAAATACTCTTGTACTTTTGTTTTAATTGTCATGCTTGTTCACAATTATTTATTTTTCATTTAGTTTAGTCTTTTTTTTGTGCTAACTAGTGTTAATAAGTGCAGGTTTTATGTAAAAACAGACAAACAAACAAAAAAAAAACAATCAAGGACCATCCCAACTATTTTACCAGAATAGGATGGACGTTAATGACGCTTTAAATGTACAAATGTTTTCAAAGCTCTTTGACTTATAATGAATTACAGGGGTTTCCATTCTTACCATAACAATTGTAATCTTCTTGATTAAGCCTTTGTAATGTAAAAGTAGTCCTGCCTGACTCTGTGTGTTCTCTAGGCTATAACAGAATCAGACATTAACATCAGGACATATGCAGGTAATAAAAATGGATGGGTTCAAGAAAATAATTACAAATTTCTACTGCTATTTAATGCATGCGTTGATGTTGATCTGTAAATAGTTTATCCTTTGGGTCAGTGTGGGTTTCAGAAATAATGCTGCAGCAGACCCAAGTTGCAACAGTCAAAGACTACTATAACAGATGGATGAAGGTGAGTATGTGAAAGTCTGGTACCTTATCTAACATTTAAACAATCCTTTGTGAAGTCTAATAACAATGCTGCATATTTTACGCTGCAGAGGTGGCCCACAGTGCAGGATCT